GACCACCTCCTGATGGTCGACATAGCCCACGCGACTAGGTTGAGAGCCTTGAAAAGCCAAAAAATTGGTTAAGACCCTTAACCGTCAGACTACCTCCTGATGGTCGACATAGCCCACGCGGCAAGGCGGAGAGCCTTGAAAAGTCAACAAATTGGCTATGGCCCTTAACCGCTAGACACCTCTCCCAACACACAACTTAGCCCACGTGGTTAGGCGGAAAGCCATAAATGGTTAGGATATTGGCTAAGGGCATCGACCATTTTAATCAAGCCTAGCGCGTGCGGGACGAATGACATTCACCCATGCTACCAAACAACTGAACGTGGGAGACAACACTAGAAAAAACAAGTTTCAACATTACTAACCGTTGATAACATAGCATTCATACAAAAGCATGTGATTACTCTTATCCACACCCCGGACAAGTAGGGAATGATGCTACAAGTAGAAATAAAAGGCGACACAAAAAAGAGGAGAATTAACAAAAAGTGCTACTACTAAGCCATACTTTAACTCGAAGGGGAAGCATCACCATTGCCGCTCCCCGACGAATGACCAAGTGACCTAGATGGCTGTGCCCCACTTTCCTTCCCCTTACACTGCGCGAGAAACATATTAAAACCTGAGGGGTTAATAGTAGGGTACTCGGTCGATATCCATTCTTTGGTTAGTTTGATGGACGCTGCCATCACCTTCTCCCTGTACGAATGCAAGGCCTTGGTATAATCAGACGATGACTTATACTACTCTACAGATGCCTCTAAGTCTCTAGTATACTTAGCAGAGGCCTTATACCTCTTGACTGCCTCCCCTAGAGCACGAGCCAACATAGACTACAAATTGTCATTCTCTGTCTCCTGCTCACGGGCTCGAGCCTCCAACGCCTCTAGAGATTCCTTCAAGGAAGATATAGAATTAGAAGCATACCCTCCGGAGATAGACCGTCGCAGCCCTCTCGATGTTGTCTTTGTTACATCCTGCAATCGCCCTAGCCCGCACAGGCATCACCAAAGACTTAAGCGCCCCCATCTCATGATAACCCCGGGTGGGAGGAAACCCAAAATTAGGAAGTGAATCCTCATGCTCTCCCCCCTATTACTTCCCGACAGGGTCTTCAATACCTCATCCAGATCGAAGTCCATATGCGTATGCACATGCCCAAACTGATTAGTCCTAAAAAGTAACAGATAATAAATATGTGCAAGTCAAAAATAATAGGAACCAGCGGAAGTAACCTACCAGTAAGACGACTCATCCCCACTATCAACATGTTCCTCATGGTCAGGACTGATCTTAAATCAGGTGCGAGAGGAGGTATATCAACCAACTATTGGATTTGAGCTTTTAGAGTAGAAGAAGCTTCTACTTGACTATTGAAAAGGTGAATTTGAGGATGCCGCTATTTGGTAATGAAAGGAAACCGACCTGCTGAAGGTCGGGCGAAGAAGAACCGAGATTTCCACCCGCTATTCGAATTCCTGAACCAAGGAAATAGCAAAGGGACCCTAGTGATAAAAAAGACAAATGCATTGCACTGAACTAGTTCATATATCTCAAAGACACACCTAAAGAGGTCTATGGAAAGTGGAATTCTCCTCCTAAGGTAAACATACAAGAAATATAATGTTTTTCTCCAAGCATTGGGGTTTATTTGACTAGGAGTAAGATGAAACTCATTGAAAATCGACACAAAGAAGGGATGAATGGGTAGCCGTACACTGCTATCTCGTAGGGGTTGGACCCTGGGAGCCTCTCTTTGGGACTAGGGGCTCTATAGACATAGTCGTCAACCCTGTCTTACTTAGTAAGACATTTTTCTAACTTGAGCGGGGAATTGTAAATGCTATAACCTCTTGGAATCTCGGGAGGGACAATCTCACCAGCTGGATCCTGCTCGATTTCTAAGTTTTGATTGGGAAGCTTGGTAGAGCCAATATGCTTCTTGGAAGAATTAGAAACAAACATTGAGGTTCGGTTGAAGAAGTCCCGTTATCGGAATCACGAATGGATCTATTGGATGAAGGGGAGGATTCGCTAGGCAGCCTATCCAAGGAGTCAGAAGAACGATTGGCTCGGGGGAGGCTCCCGACCAGCCAAAGGGTTGGTCGCTTGACCAGCCATGGGGATGGTCGATTGACTAGCACGGCTGGTCGCTGCTCGACCAGCCTTGCTGGTCGTCGGTCGACCGGCTCACCGACGGTCAGCCAATCGTCGGAGTCGACTGGCCCTTTCGATGAAGGTTCGGTCGACTCATTACATTCCCCGTTGCCACAGTCATTGGAGGAAGAGGTGATGATAGTCTTATACATTTAAAAAAAAAAAAGAAGAGAAAGAAGAGGGAAAAAGCAAAAACTCTAAGTAAAAATCTTGGAGTGAAGGAGGAGAATGTTACCTTGAGGAGGAAAAAATGTAAGATGTTGAGGATGAGTGGAACTGATTTCAAATATGAGACCACCCCCCTTTTTATAGGCAAAAGGGATTCAAAATTTTTGGGGGGAAAATTTCCCCCAAGACTATGTTCATTGGTTGGGTACCAAATGTACAATGAAATAGTTGCCCGGACTAAATTGTACTATTCGACTTGCTTATTCGAGCTAATTTTATTTATATAAAAAAAATCTAGATAAAGGAAGTTATTATTCCTCTGTTGAAAAAATATCGACAGAGAGTAGGGGCTAATAATATCAGTTAACATAGGAAACTGCCTCTGAAGATAAGCAATGTAAATCATTGCATGCCAATGTGAAGTCGTTGACCTCCTGGGATGTTCTACCTCCACACGAGACTGCCTACCCCTAGGTGCTCTACCTCTATGAGAGGCTGTCTTCTCCCCCCAGGGGAGGGGGCTATACTTCTACATGAGGCCATCAACCTTCGGGGGCGTCTACCTCTATGAGAGATTATCGATCCTCGGGGTGCTCTACCTTTACGCGAGATCGTCGACCCCCCTGGGGGCACTCTACCTCTATGTAAGATCACTGACTGACGTGAAATTGTCTATAGAGCCATCTCAACAATTAGCCACAAAATCCCGGATGAATTGACAAGGATACATGACAGTTACCTCAGACCCAACCTTCGAGCGAGAAGTTAAGATCCCCCACTCAAAAGTGGAGATGGTGGGGAGGCCAACGTGGGACACGTGGCACCACTACCACCCGGCTTCCGACGCCTATAAATACCCCTGAGTCCGACACAGGTATGGATGACAGCATTGTTTCCTAGCCATCTAAATTCATCTTCATACTTCCCAATATCATTTACTGATTATCATGTCAGAGGCAAAACGAGGGAGAAAGCCCCGCTTTCATTTTTCAGGTTACTCACGACGTCCAACGGAGTAGCAGAAACGCCAAACGCCACCAGGTAGACGGAAAGGTATTGTTCCACCACCATCTCAATATACACTAAACTTTATATAATGGGTTACACAATGCCACATATTATTTTATTAGTTGTCAATTTAAAATACAATCTATTATTTATCAAAAATTTTCCCTCCACATTATTTTATTTAATCTTTTATATACTATTTTTATGTACAACTGTTATAATACGATCCAGTGTTTTTCCTAACCATGTTTTAAATATCATATTGTAAAGTTTCCAAAAACTTTTAAAAGAGTTTTGTTTGTTTCAAAATTCTATTAAAAAAGATTAAGAAACTTTTACTGAGATTGGCAAAGGTTTTTGAGCGTTTACAAAGACATAACTTCTAAAACGTTTTCAAAGTGAACATGCTAATATTTTAGAAGTTTCCATATGACGAATCACACACAAAGCTTCTAAACTTTCAAGCTTGATTTTCATCTTCTTTGTTCTTCAATTCAAACTCTAACCCGAGATCTCTTTTATGTTCCAAGTATGTCAATGTAAGATTGCATAAGTTCGTAAAGTCGAAGACCTGGGTAATTATAATATAGATGTTAAGACATTAAAGTTTGTCCAAATCTTTTGAAATTGCACCTGAAAATACATGTTCAAACATAGCGTGGTCAAAGGTTTTTTTTTTTTTTTGGCACTTGGTTAAAAAATTTAATGATTTGGGCTTGGGCTGCCCTCGGCAAAACCCCTGCCTACGCCCTTGGGTTCAAGTGGGTTCAAATCTTGATCGGAGAATTAATGATTCTTGGACATGAAAGATTATACTATGAGGTTTTCTGTCTGAAAACCCATTTAGTGAACCACCTTCTGCATTTTTGCTTAATCGAAATATTCTTCTTTCGTGGCTTCACGTACGTGAGATGATGAACGGATTCCTCTTTTGTGCACACGTGGGTTATTTTACTTCTATCTTTGCCGTTCATCACTTTTTCCCTTGCACTTCCACTTGCCCAATGCCAATGCCACATGAATGTTGATCACCGTTTTGCAAACCATCCCGTCAACTATTTTTTTATGGCGACTTCACGATCCTCATTTACTTCCGAAAGTAATATTCCTACGGCTCGAATGCTTCCGACTCTTGTACTGAGCTTCTAAATGCATCGCGATACCATTGAGGAATCTTATTAAAATAGCAATGAGAGTTGATCATGACTTTTAGAAATAAATAATACATTAAGCCTTAAATAGAAATTAGAGTGTGGATAACAAATCCAAGCACAATAATTTACGGTTCCTCCCTTTACAAATCCTTAAAACAAAAATGAGTTTAGAAGTAATTAAACTGAAATCTACTTTTGGCTATTTTAAGCAAGAAATACAAATTCATGGTGGCGCTTAAATTATGTAGAAATGCATTTGTAATATAAAATATTTAACAAAGGCTTTTACAATTAAAAAATTTCCATTAGGTTAAATGACTATTTAAAGAAGTCTCCTTGTTGCTTCTCTTTCTTCAATATTTTTCCCCACATCATTTCGTAGTTTTTTCGTATGTTGACAGTTGAAACAAATTCTGCGGAAAATCCTTATTAATTTTATTTTTTCAGCTTATATATAAATAGTGTACTTGTTCTGAGCATCAACGTAAGGGAAAAAGAAAGGTGTTCAAGAAAATGGTGAAGCCCTGTTATGTTGATGGTAATGGAATAAAGAAAGGTGCGTGGAGTGAAGAAGATAACAAGTTGAGAGAACATATTCAGAGCTCCGGGCACTCAAATTGGCGATTGCTGCCCCAATATGCCGGTAAGAACTGCAATCCTTCATGGTTTCGTTCATAAACAATAAAGAAGCTGACAATTGCAAAATGAAAAAACAATATTTTCATCACAAAATTCTTTTGCTACTACAATTTTGAAAAGAAGATAAACCCTAATTTTCTGCAACCAATTTCTCAAATATAGTGTTATATATTAACATATTTCTCAACAGCATTTAGTTAATTTCATCTATAAGATATTAGATATCCTTTCTTTAATGCTTTAGAACCTATAAAATTGAAGCCTTAATCAGTGTAAGAGGGATATAATTTATTCAATAATCATTTTGCATATCTTTCAGGTTTAGCTAGAAGTGGTAAGAGTTGCAGACTACGGTGGGTAAATTACCTCAAGCCTGGAGTGAAAAGAGGGAACTACAGTAAAGAGGAAGTTGATCTTATCATGGGACTACATGCCAAACTTGGAAACAAGTACGGAATAATCCTCAATTGACTCATGTATCACATAAATGCGAGCTTCGTGTGTTAACCACCTCGTCTAATAAAAAAAACATATGTTAGATTAATCATATTATGTCACTGGAAAATATTGTGATTGTGTAGCACTTGAACTACAAAGATAATCTCAAGCTGGTAGACCGAACTTCTATATTTATTAAATTAGGTTCTTGTGTTAACCTAAGTTAATCAAGATACTGTGATTATGTTGCTAAGTTTTTTTGCATTGACAAGTTTTTCGGATAAAATCTAGTTTGCAGGGTTCTTATATTCCTCTAACACTGCTCTTAATTGCAAAATAAAGGTGGTCAGACATTGCGAAAAACTTGCCTGGAAGAACAGACAACGATATAAAAAACTACTGGCACGCACATGTAAAGAAACGCCTCAAAAGAAATGTCACAGGAACTTCCTCATTGTCTGAAATATCTCAGGAAGAGCCCGACAAGGACTTTGTTATGGCAGAATCCTCATGTATCCAAGAATTGGAAAATTCGGTTCCATTCCTTAATAGTACGAATTATGTAGCACTTGATACGGCTTATTTGGATTCAGTGGAAGAAAATCTGTGGAATGAACCAAGTCAAATGAATTATTTTGAGATTGTTGACACACTAAAAGTGCAGTCCAAATTGAATAATTCAAGAAATGAAGCCCAATTGAGGAATTCCCAAATCAAATGGCCCAAAGAATGAAACCCAATTGGGTAATTCAGGATAAACGTCCAGACAGGGTTATTAATGAATACAGTGAAAGCCCATGAACACGATAACATCATCGCCCAAACTTGCAAGATGCCCAAGACCTAAGTGAATGGAGTGCCTTACAGTCGCCCAAAGCGATGACCCTGTTCTCGCCCATACTTTCGAATCGCCCAGGATCTTAGCAAACATAAAATGTTATGGTTATCTAGAAATGCAGTTATTGAAGCAGTTATTGAGTAATCTTATCACATTCCACGATTCAAGGAACCTAGTTGAAGGCGGTTGAACGACAAAGAGTAGTGGCAGCAGTTAGAGACGGTAGTTCCACGACAAGTTAGCCACCATAAAGAAAGTGGGTAGTTATAAAGTAATCAAGCAGTTCCCAAGCTGTTTGTCACGAAGAAATCATCAAGAGAATATAAAAGAAAGAGAAGACATAGAGAGAAAGCACCCCGAATCAAACACTCTCAAACAGAGAATATGTAATTTCAATTTCTTAGTTTAAACTTAAACATTTCTTTCAGTACTCGTGTACTTGCACCCCTTAGAGGCATTCTGTTTAGCTCCAATTGTAAATCATCGCCAATAAAACACCCATTTTTGGGACTTTGTCTCAAGAGATTTGTTCCTTACACAATTGTCTGATTCCCTTTTAATTGTTAGCGACTTCCCGTGTGAAACAATTTGGCACGCCCAGTGGGACATTGGTGTTTTGTGTTGAAGATACAAAAGGTGAAACAATATGCCTTACAAATCTTATAAGGAAGCAGCAAGTCAGGGAGGAGTCCAGTCTATGATCGAGCGATATGAGGAGCAGCATAGCTCTCCAAGAACAGAGGGACAGAGTCAGAGCAGTCACAGTCATTACGAACCAATGACAGAGTTGAGTCCTCGAACCATGCGTGCATTACTTGGAAAACTCACACAGGATATCGTTGAACAGGTAAATCTATGAAATATTCATAATATGGAAAGATTTACCCAGAATGGGAATGCACATTATGACAACATGGCCAAACAACTGAATACTTTGAACAAAATAATGAATAAGTTAGTATGCCAAATTTGTCAGCCAGTTGTGCCTCTTGCAAATCATTTTCAAGCTAGGACAATTGTGGGACATAATCCCCCAGTCCTAAGTCTAAATCAAGGGATAAAACCACCTTTTGGTCCATCTACTTCAAACCAGGGAGATGGTCCAAATCAGAATAGTGGTAATGGTACAGCTAACTTGGGGGGTAACCTAAATGTAAGAGACAATGTCCTAAATAATGGACAGAATGCCCCACGTGTTAATGATGGAATAAATATTCAAGCTAATGGTAACAATGACCCAAATCAAGGCAACTTTGTTGCCAACCAAGGGCCAAACATCAGGTCTCAAGAAAATCAACCGATCAACCAACCTGTAGGAATTTCATATGACCCCAACGTCATGTTGAGGAATCAAATTATGGAAATAGTACAGGATCAGATGGCTTTTGGAGTACGTCCTATCATTAGGCCGACTTACACAAAGCCATATCCTGATTGGGTAGACCAAGCATATCCATGGCCTAAAGGGTATAAAGTGCCAAAATTCTCACTATTTACCGGTTTAGGAAAGGTGTCTACTCTAGAACACATAAGGCGATTCACACTGCAAAGTGGTGACGTAATAGACTACCACAAAATGAGGCTATTCCCTAGTTCATTAACAGGAGTAGCTTTCTCCTGGTTCATCAATTTGCCAGCGAACTCTATTCAAACGCCAAATGCCAGTTTCACCATGGTCAGTTTTATAAGATTGAATCTGAAGTTACTTTGGTCAATTTGGCGAGTCTGCGTCAAATGCCAAACGAATGGGCAGAAGGTTTCCTTCAAAGGTTCAAGACAGCAAGAAGTAAATGTTTTGTACCTTTGTCCAAAAAGAAGTTTGTCAAAATCGCTCAAAATTGTCTAAATTTTGATTTGAAATAGAAATTTCAAGACAAGGAATTTCCTGATCTTTTTCAATTGAGCGAAACGTGATTAGGTATGAACGATTAATAAGAGAAGAAGAGCAAATGAAAAACTCTAGGAAGGGGACTTGTTATAGAGACCCAAATTTTGATGTTCATACCATTAATGATGAATATTACGATCAAGCCGAAATGTGTTTGGCCGAATTAATTAAAGGAGATACGTATACTTGTCCTATAATGGTTAAGCCTAGACCGTCGGGCAAGAATGAGCCTATAAAAGATGAAAACAAAAAGGCTAGAACGTTCTTGTTCAATGTAACCAAAGCTGACCTTATATTTAATAAACTATATAAGGATAAACAGATGAAGCTGAGCGATAAACATAAATTGCCAAGCCCTGAACAATTTAAGGGTAAAAAATATTGTAAGTGGCATAATGCATGGTCACATTTGACTAACAACTGTTTGGTTTTTCGCCATGTATTACAGGATGCCATTGAATCAGGACGAATTACGTTCAAAGACAAGAAGAAAATGGCAGTGGATGAAAACCCTTTTCCACAGCCACTTGAGGTGATCATGGTGATGATTGATTTTAAAAACAAGTTGCCAAAATTCAAGTTGGTTATAGATGACGGGGAAGAGGACCTTGGGCCACATCCCAGTCTTTGAACGTATCAAAGGGAAGGAGCCCGAAAAGGATGAAGACGTCCTGTGTGCAAGGTGCAAAAGAGCAGTGAGTGCAAATACAGAGAAACCAGGGATATGACAGCATCATCATTGCCCTAGTTTTTTCCCAAACGCTCAGTCTGATAGAGGACGAGGTACATCATTCTATAGGGGACCGCCTTTTGAGAGGCAGTTCAGGCTAGTAAATAATGGGAGAACATTCAGGCCACAACCTCGCCAACCAAATGTATGGCATTCATTCCAATATAACGCAGGAAGGGTGATACCCTTCAACGAGATGACTAGAACCCAATAAAGGTATTTTCAACGGAACTATGGACGAATGATGACACAATAACAGGGAATGCAACGTCCTAAAGTGCCTAAATTACTCGAGGTAGCCAATCAAAATGTTCTCAAAGACAGTGAAGAGACTGGTACAGGTGAATCAATGGAAGAATTGCCAGAAACTTCTTTTGGGAGATCGAAGTTTGAGCGAGACAGAAGAGATGGAGAAGATCCAGATCAGCTCCTTACTATTCAGTTCTGTACGTTACCTCCTGTCATGGCTAATAATTACTTACTAGCTAATGAGTTCAAGAATGAAGAGAAAGAAGAAGAAGAAAGGGAGGATAACGAAGAAGAAACATGTGTGCTAGAATGTGAAGAAGACCAAACTTCTAGAGGGGCCTATGATGATGAAGGAGATGATGGTATGACGGACATCGAAGAGAAAATTGATCTAGAAGCAGAAAGAAGAAAGAGAGGGGTGTCGTACAATACTCTGTTAAAGCAACTACATCGAGAGAGAGTTCGTGAAGTGGACTTGTTGGGGGAACCATTTGGGCGTTGTTTCTATTATTACGTGCTGTACGGGACTCCCAAAAGGAAAAAGAGAGTTCCTTGCTCTAAAAAGTATGGATCACCTCTAAGAATAATGCCTCCTCCCACAGGTTGGGTAACCGAAGAAGAAGCATTAACAAACAGTAAAAAGGAACTTCAGGAAATAGAAGCTCAGTGCGACATACTGCACGTTGACTTATCACAAAAGGATAACTCGACAGAGGACAAAAAGGAAGTGGAAATAGATGCTACCGAAAAGGTTATTTTTAAGAGACCAACCATGAAGTTAACTAAACACTTGAAGCCATTATACGTTAAAGTTTTAGTTAACGGCATACCTGTGGCAAAAGTACTTGTTGATAATGGAGTAGCTATAAACACCATTCCATCTAAGATGATGAGAAAATTTGCAAAGACAGAAAGTGATATGATTCCAACGGAAGTCATCTTTACAAGTTTCAATGGAGGAGTAACTTCAGCTAAAGGAGTTATGCCATTGGACATATCTATAGGGACAACTACTAGGACCACAGTCTTCTTTGTAATAGATGGTTCTACTAGTTACAATGTGTTATTAGGAAGAGATTGAATACATGGAAGTCGCTGTATACCTTTATCGCTCCATCAATGCCTGGTTTTTTTGGAATGATAAGGGTGAAGCAGAAGTGGTGCAGGTCGATCATAGGTCTTTTGTCGCAGAAGCAAACTCAGTGGAAAGGTTCATGTACGAAGGAAATTATGGACCTGTCAGAGTAGTCTAAGATGGAGAAGAAACTCAAATTGTTGCATAGAGTGAAGAGCCATTTTCGGTAGATGCACTCACTGAAATGTTCAGTCAAATGAGGCCAAATATAGTGGCCCTAGAAGAGCCAGTAACTGGCAAAAGAGTAATCAAGGAGTTTTAAATGAGTTGTAAGCAACAAAGGCAAATGGCTGATTTTCAGGCCTTCAAAGCCAAAATAATCCCTTTCAATAAAGAATGTAAGGACAAGATGAAAGAAGAAGCAGCCTTGGAAGCATTGAGAGACAAATTGACAGTGTTCGAGTTGGAACAAAATATTGGCCGAGAAGTCAAGGTGGATTGTTTAGAAGAAGAAGTGCCTATAAGGGAATTAGATGATGAAGTAATGAGGATCACCAAGCCTGGATACGCTCAAGCACAGGACCCTCTGATTAAAGTGAATCTTGACAATGAAGGAGAAGATCGCCCAATATTCGTCAGCCAGATGCTCGATCAAGAGGTTAGTGATAAATTAATCGCTTTATTAAAGGAATATAAGGATTGTTTTGCTTGGAAATATGAATATATGCCTGGTTTAGATAGAGGTTTGGTGAAACATAGATTACCAACCAAGCCAAGTTTTAAACCTCATAAACAACCTCCTAGGCGTTTTGCTCCTAATGTACTCCCTGAGATTAAGAAAGAAATAGAGCGATTATTAAAAGTAGGCTTTATTAGAACAGCCAGATATGTCGAATGGTTGTCTAATATCATGCCAGTACTAAAAAAGAATGGTAAATTAAGGGTGTGCATAGACTTTAGGAATTTAAACATAGCCATACCCAAAGATGAATATCTAATGCCCACGGTAGATTCTTTAGTAGACTCGACTGCCGGACACGTAATGTATTTCTTCATGGATGGGTATT